GTGTGTGTTTTCCACCTAGGCACTTGCAGGTGCCGGATTCCGTGGCTCCAGACCTACCTGAAGGCAGAGCCTGGGGTGGGGACTCAGCGGGGTGGGGCGTCATTCCCGCTACAAGGGCTCCTCCCCATGGGCGTGTTCGTGTTGGCACCAACACTCGGGTTCCCCCCCATCGGCTCAGGCGCTACTGGGAAGGGGACCCTTATCCCGCTGGGATTCTGCTTTCACTAGTCCTCCTTTGTTTGCTGCCCGGCATGGGCCTCTGCTTGGCGCCGGCAATGCTGCTGCTGTTGCTGGGTGAGTGGCCACCTCCTCCCCGAGACCCGTCAATGCTGGCATCTCTGTCCAATCTTCAGGGACAGAGCGAGGGGGAAAGAGGATGATCTGGAAAAAACCAGAACCACAATAAGGGGCACCGGCATGAGACCGGTGTGTATACGGGGTGTGCCGGCACCCCGCAGCCCTGCAGCGTGCTGTGCAGCCTGCCACTCCCCACCCAGAAGTCCCGTCTTTGTACCCCAGTCCCAGAAACTGTTTCCTATTGGGTCCCCTCTCCCACCTCTCTTACCCTTCCCTCAGCCCCTACTCTCCATCTTCAGTCTTGGAGCTTCACACTCATTCCCTGGTGCCTCGCATCTGCTGTTCCAACTGCTTGGCTTCCCCTTCCCCAGCTGGGGCATCGTGGGGGGAGGGGATCACTTTACCGGGTGGAGCGGGGTGGGGAAAATGGAATCTGACAAAGGTGTAAGGCAGACGAGATACTGGAGCTGAGACGTGCTGTTTGGAGGGTAAAGATGAGGGAAGGGTACTCCTGGCAGAGGGAAACCCATAAGCAAAGGAGCAGAAGTGGGACCAAGACCTCAGGTGACACTACGTGCTACTGCTGTGTGGCTGAAGCCTGGGCACTTGAGGGGCTTGGCTGCGACAGAAGGGCAGAGTTAGCTGCTCCTGGGGTCCTGGAGGGGAGGGGAGGGGAGGAGACAGGAAGGGAGGGCTCCCCCCTCTCCTGTCTACCCTCCCCACATACTTACTCATCCTAAGCCCTTGGTATCTATTCATCCTGCCTGCACCCAGAGAGAGAGAATCACCGTGGCTCCCGCCATCCTATCTGTGGATCCTGAAAGAGGGGGCCAGGGCCAGATGGGGACCCTGTTCCCAGACCTGAGGCAGGAGCCGCCTCCTTCCACACACCCAGTGAGAAGGATGTGGGGTTAGGGTGGAAAACTTCCCCAAGACTCTGGTGCTCCCAGGGGCTGAGAGCGCCGAGAGGGGCGGGGGTAGCCTGGTTTTGGTGACCCAGGTCCTAGGAAGGGGCTGCCAAATCCCAGCAGAGTGCCGCCTATCATGGATTCTTGGGCCTTGTGGCTCAGGACAGAGCCCTGTGGCCTGACCTCTGGAGTCCACACCCTGGCAGCCAGGTCTAAATGGGCCCTCTAGTGCCCAGAGCTCCTTTGGGGAATCCCTCTTTTGCCTGGCTGATGGAGAGTGGAGGGGCCAGGGGAAGCCAGACTCCAGATGGGGCAACATGAGAGATGCACGAGAACGGAGCATCAGAAGGGAGTGGAAGGGCGAGACGCCCGCGGTAAGGGGCAGAAGGAGGCGCACGAGAAGGTCTAGAAGGAGGGAGACCCAGAAACCACTAGATTCACTCAAAGGGTGTCTTTGGGGAAGGGAGGAGAGGAAAGGAAGAAAGCTCAGGTGTCCCAGCGTGTCCTCAACGCCATTTCTGATACACGTCCATTAGCCTAGTCCCCAGAAGCCTTGCTCTGTTTCCCGCGTCAGGTGGGGCCTGTGAGAGTGGCAGGAGCCTCGCGGACCCCCTCTTTGAATGGGTGTGGCCGTTCTGCGGAAGGAGTGGTGCCTGGGGAGGATGGGCTTCAGCGTCTGGGGGAGCCGGGCCGAGTCTTGGTGCGCCCCCTCCACCCGTGACGCGTAGCAGGACTCCCCAGAGCCGGCGGCCGCCCATCGGCGCGACAGAGGGCCGGTCAGTGCCAGTCAGTCACGCCTTCGAGCCACACACTGCGCTCCGCGGGCTCCGCGCGCTGGAAGGGCTCGCGGAGAACTGCAGCTGCCCGCCCCTCCCCCAGGGTCACCCAGCTCGGCCGCACGGAACCGATGCTTGGACGCGGCCGAGGCGTGCACGGCGGACGCGCGGTGCCAGCGGCTGCGCACCGAATACGTGGCTCAGTGCCTGGGTCGGGCCGCGTCCGGGGGCTGCCCCCGCGCCCGCTGCCGCCGCGCCCTGCGCCGCTTCTTCGCCCGCGGGCCGCCCGCGCTCACCCACGCGCTGCTCTTCTGCCCGTGCGTCAACGCCGCGTACGCCGAGCGCCGGCGCCAGACCTTCGTGCCCGCCTGCGCCTTCGCGGGGCCCGGCCCGGCACCGCCCTCCTGCCTCGCACCCTTAGACGCCTGCGAGGACAGCCGGATCTGCCGGTGCGGGGGGTGGGAGGGCGGGGGGGGCTACGTGAGATGGGGCGGAGGCGGGGCGGGGCTGGGTCTCAGGTGCGAACCCGCTGTGGGAGCAGGCGGGGCGGGGACTGGGCGGGGATGGGCGGGGCCTCCCGCTCACCGCCCTCCGGTCGCGCCGCGCAGGCCCCGCCTCCTAGCCTTCCAGGCCTCCTGCGCGCCCGCCCCCAGCGCCCCCGACGGCTGCCTGCAGGATCAGGCCCCCGGCTGCCTGCGCGCCTACGCGGGCCTCGTGGGTACGCACTGCTGGGATCCGGGCGCGGGCTGGGGCTCTCCCGGGGATGCCTCCGCCTGGGTGGGCCGATTACCCAGCCCTCGGGGCCCCCGCAGGCACCGCGGTCACTCCCAACTATGTGGACAACGCGAGCGCGCGCGTGGCGCCCTGGTGCGATTGCGGAGCCAGCGGAAACCGGCGTGAGGAGTGCGAAGCCTTCCGGGGGCTCTTCACCAGGAACCGCTGCTTGGGTGAGGGGCCCGGGCGGGGCGGCGCTGACCGCCCCTTCCCAAGTTCAGGCTGGCGGCACCTTATTTTAGAGGTGAAGAATCAGGTTGTTTGCGGCAGCCACGCGGGTGCACAGCCCCTCTGCTGTCGACCTGCCTCTCGAGACATCCGCGCCCAGTTCTCTCCGGAGACCAGGTCACAGATCAAAGTAGGATCTTAGCGATGTCTAGGCTGGTGACCCTGCGGGCGGGAGGGTGGGGGGCAGTCAACACAAGTTTCCGAGTTCCTGGAATGCAACTAGGCAAAATTCTAGATCGCCATTTCTGAGGCGGTCCCACACGCAGGGCACTCCCAACGCCCCCATTGATGATCTTGCCTTTTGGGTCTGAATAAACTGGGTGGCCTGTGAAGTCCATTCTGCCACTTACCAGCCCAGAGTTAGTCAATCCTTGAAGATTTTTTTGTGCCCATCTGTAATATGGGGGTGCTAATCGTCACCCTTCCTATGAGGATGAGTTTGTAAGGTACTAGTAGCACAGGTGTTCCTATTTTGTTATTCCTTGTCATGCACCTTCCATTCCAGAAGCCAGTCCTTGCAGATGTTCTACCCTCCCACCCTGCCGCAGGATGCCAGAGGTCTCTGTCCCTGAGGAGCTGGGCCTTGTGCTGGGGTTTCCCAGCGTAGCCCACCCTGGACCCCTTCCTCCTTAGATGGTGCCATACAGGCCTTTGATGCTGGGTGGCCTCCAATCCTGCAGGACCAGCCAGATGTCCACCAGGACCCTGAGCACAGCCTCCTGCAAGTAGGTGTAGGGAGGGGATGGTGAGCTGGCAGCCCCTGCACCGGCTCCTTCCACACACTTCCATTCCAGGTGGGCCTAGATGAAGGCATGAGTGGCCTGGGATGGAGGTGGTGGAGGCAGAGAGCAGAATCCAGCTTCTGCCTCAAGTCCACATTCTGCTCCCACCCCCAAGGTGTCCTCCGCAGATGGGCTCCTGGTTGGAAGCTCCCTGCTCTCCATGCTCCCTGTCCTGGCTCTGCAGCCCCTGCTCTGACTAGGACAGCTGACCTTGGACAACATCACTGTCCCATCCTGCCTGGGGTACAGGGCCCCATCTGCACCCTAGGGCCCCACTGAAAGTGGACTGGCTTGCCTCCCAAGCTGGTCCCAGTGCTCTTGCCCTGCTGCCCTTTTTAGGTCTGGACACCCTGTGTGCCTGTCCCCTAGAGTGAGGGATGTGGGCTGAGGGCCTGATGCAAAGCCCATAGTTTCCCTTTCAGTGGGTTTCTTGGTTGTAGGTCCCTCTCTCCCCTGACCTTGGAACAGTTGGGTTCTCCCACAGGGTAGGGATGGGAGGGGGTCACCTGCGTAGCTGAGGCCTCACTGGGGCCCCAGATCATCTAGAAGTCAGAAACCATCCAAATTCCCAGAATTTTAAGAGCTTTTACCAGCTTCTCCAAACAGAACATGCCCTAAGGAGTACATCTGAATAGACTTCAGGCAAAACGCTTTTGAACGCTGCAGGCTTTCATCTAGGCCCCACTGACTAATGTTGGTAAGGTTCTTCCCAACCATGATATATTGCTTGGTGGGCACCACCTGGAGTGAGGATCCAGTCCCCTGCGTTGCACTGGTCACATGACCATCTTTCCTATGGTTTAACCTAGCACTACGAATGGCTCTTTTTATAGCTCAATAAACCCACATGCACTGAGACTGGCCTTGCTTTCATGTGATCTGTCCTGGGAGCCTGGAGACCAGGTCAGCCACAGGGGGGTATGCCTCTGCTGGCCTGTGTGACCTCAGATGGTCTCAGAACCAACCTGGGCTACATCTGCGCACCTACGAGCCCAAACTGAATCAACTATTGGATCCTGGTGGCAGAGATTTCTGCGGTTTGTCTTCTTTGCTAGTACTCAGATTCAAAAACTATGCTTCCCAGCCTCCGTTGCAGCCAGGAGGTGGTTATGGGACACAGTCCTGGTCATAAGTGGAAGTCACAGATGAGGCTTCCAGGAGAGTTCCTGAAACAGGAGAAGACTTGTTGACTGGACCCTTCAGCCTTTAGCCTCCTCGCCCTTCTTCTTGCCCAGAACTTGATGGCCATGTCTGGGGACATGGGTGCCATTTTGAAAATGGAGCCACATGACATTGTGGAGCCACTGTCCCAGCCTCCATCTGCCTCCCTCTAGACTCTTCATTATATGAGAAAAATAATACCTTTAGTTTGTTTAAGCCAGTTTCTCCACAGACATCTGCCATTTGCAGCCAAACATAGTCTCTGATTGTCTCACTACCACTTCCGGGGTGCCAGGGGGCCCCGGGATCACTTAGGAGAGCCCCTCCTCAGTGTGCACAAAGCCCAGCCCTGACACACACTTTAGAGTGGTGGTCATTTTGTTGTTGTTGTTGTATTTCCACATATTCTCCCTGCTTCTGTCCATGTGGAGAGTCGAATTCTTTCCTGGAGTCTAGGGAAATGTGTCCTGTTTTCACAAGCACTTGTGTGTGGCCAGTGTGGACCCGCACGTGCCAGGGGCATTGTGTTGATGTGCAGTTCTGTGAAGGTGTTCGGGAGGAGAAGGCAGAACAGTGGCGGCTGAGTACGAAGTCTTCTGCCTGCTTCCTTCGTTCTCAAGAGCTTGGAGATGCTGATGAGTGAAGGGTTACAGAGTCTCGGGGCCACTGCTTCTCAAAGCTGGTTGAGGCTTTTCAGGGGCCACGAAACCGATGGAAGGGCATGTTGTTGGCACCTTGCTCAGAGACTTCTCTGGGCCAAGCTGCTGGGGAGGTTGGGTGCTAACACCGCTCCCAGCTGCCCCCCTCTGTAGAAGAAATGCCTGTAAAGTTACCCTCTGCTCCCTGAGGTAGCCTGCAGCCATGGGGCGGAGCGGCGGTTCTGTGCGCCATTCATGCTCCAGAGCTCCCTATGGGATGGAGCTGAAGCTAGATCCCAGCTGAGACCACAGCCTAGCACCTTCCCCTGCCGGCTCCTGCCTCCCTCACTCAGAGGTTCCCCTGAGGGCACTCCCTCTCATAAAGCATCCTGAGAATCTCTGTCTTGGGCTCAGTTTCTGGAGAACCTGACCTTAGACACAAGGGTTCAGTGCAGATCCCACCAAAGCCCAGGCCTGGGGCTGTCCTGCCCAGAAAAAGAGCCACTGGCTCTGAGACTCTGATTTCAGCACTCAGAACAAACCCACAGACACCACGTGCAGCAACTATCAACCAGCCTAGCTGCGCCAGCCAGTAATCTTATCGGAGCCAAACACAGACCAGACGTGCTGGGGTAGGCAACTGAGCATTTGGCTTCTGGCACAGCTGCGTCTGGGGGTTTGAGTGCTGGTGGCCCCGTTGGTCTACACATGGCTTCCTCCGTGGCCAGGCAGGCTCTCTCACTGCAGGGTGGGCAAGAGCCGTCCACAGCTGCACAGCTGCGGTCTCTCCTTTTAGGAACCTCAGCAGAGAAAGGCACCTCTCTTTCCCATCATCCATGGACTGAGTCAGGCAGGACCCCAGTAGGCCCAGCGTGGGTCATAAGCCTCTTTCAGTCGGCCCACAAAGATCACATGGAATGGGAAGGACAGTTCTCCAGAGGAAGAGAAGGGGCGCTGCTGGGCAGAGGGAAGCTCTGAGGCCAGCCTCTTCTCACTTCACAAAGAAGGAATGTTCTCGACTCTCTTCACCTGCATGGGAACGAGCACCTGTCTGTGGGCAGGGGAGAGGCTGTTTATGTGGGCTGGGAGCTGCAGCGGCGGGGTGAAAGCTGTTCACCGTGATGGCTCGGTGGCCCAGATGAAGGATTATGGGTCTTCTGCATGATGGGCCGCAGCTGCCGGTGTGTTAAACTCTAGCACTTCATTTTTTAAAAGTTATTTATTTATTTGTCTGTTTATTTATTTATTTATTATTTAATCTCTACACCCCACGTGGGGCTCGAACTCACAACCCCAAGATCAAGAGTCGCGTGCTCTACCAACTGAGCCAGCCAGGCGCCCCCATCACTTCATTTTTTTTTTTTTTTTTACTCCGGTAATTAGAGTAAAATATAGGCATATACCTTTCAAAAGATTGCAAAGATGAAAAAAAGAGCAGCACCTAGTTGAAAACAGTGGCCCTGTGGCTGTCTCCCCTCCGTACTTCTCTCCAACTCAGGCGCGGGCTTGAACCAAATAGAGCCGCTTTAACGTCAGACAGCGTGCCGCGGAAAGGAGGCTTCCTTTTTTTTTTTTTTTTTAAGATTTTATTTATTTGACAGAGAGAGAGACACGATGAGAGAGGGAACACAAGCAGGGGGAGTGGGAGAGGGAGAAGCGGGCTTCCCACTGAGCAGGGAGCCCAATGTGGGGCTCAATCCCAGGACCCTGGGACCATGACCTGAGCCGAAGGCAGACGCTTAATGACTGAACCACCCAGGTGTCCCCTATTGGGAGCAGCGGGAACACGACAGGTCTCAGGGCTCCTGCTTTCTGGCTCTCTGTTCTTCCCCCAGAGGGAAGGGAACGTTCCCTTGCGGGAGGCTTGGGGCCATTTGGGGCGTGGCCCCGGGCAGCTCTGAAGACAGAAGCCAAGAGGAGGGGACCGGGCACCGTGGCTTACAGAAGCCACCCTCTGGCCACCCCCGGGCCCGCTGACTTTCCGAGGGTTTTGTTTCTGGAATGGGATGAATGGCAGCCCCAAAGCTATGTCCACATCCTAAGCCCTGGAACCTGTGATTGTTACCTTAGATACCGGCAGAAGAGTGAGCGTTACCTAATGTAGCAAAAGATGTGATTAAGAATCTGGGCAGGAGGAGCTTATCTTGAATTATCCGAGTGGGGCCCTGAATGCAGTCCCGTGCATCCTTAGAGGCAGGGGGAGATCGGAGAGGTGATGTGAGGACAGAGCAGAGATAGGAGCCGGGGGCCACCAGAAGCTAGAAGAGGCTGGGAACGGGTTCTCCCCAGAGCTTCTGGAAGGGGCGCAGGCCCCTCAACACTGAGATTCCGGACTTTTGGCCTCCAGAACTGTGAGAATGAATTTCTGTTTTAATACGCCGAGGTTGGGGAATTTGTCACAGCAGCCCCAGGAAGCCAAGAGTTGTCGGGAGTTCAGTTTCTGTCACTTCTACCTGAAAAGGTCTGCCTCATACACGGTGTTAAGTCTGGCCAGACACCTCAAGGCTGAGTCCCGCCGCGGCCCCCGTGACCAGGAACGGGTCCCGCCCTGTTCGTCCACGTCTGCCTGTTGGCCTCCGTGTCCTTCCAGGTCGTCCTGGCCCTGGCCTCATCCCCGTGACTGGGCCTCTGCTGGCTGCTGTCAGCACTGAGCCTCTAGCCGGCAGGTGGCTGCGGGCGGGGGAGGGGGTCAGGCAGAAAGGCAGGTGCTAGAAGCATCCACGGATTTATGGGTGGAAACTTCACGGCTCATGAATGTCCACTCTGGCTTGGGGCCTGTTGTCTAGGTGCAGGGTTGATATGGAATCTGCCTGTTGCCCCCTCCTGCCCTCTCCGCCCCATAGCTGAGTCAGGCAGGGCCAAACTCCCAGCAGCAGCTCATTTTTAGAGGAAGTGTGGCCGTCGTTCGGTTAGATTTCCAGAGTAGCAGGAGGACAGGGGCCATGTGGGGCTTCAGGAGACATCCTCCAGCTGGACAGCAACTTGCCGGCGAGCTCAGCATGCGTGTGACAGGAGACAGAGCTGTGGCCCTGTCTTGCTGGCCTTCAGGCCCTGGAAGGCGTGAGTTGAAGGATGTCTTGGGAAGCTGTTCTGCCAAGAATATGTCACCCCACACTCAAAGGGGCCTCCAGTCCAAGGCAGAAGATACAGAGAGAATAATTAAGCTGAGTACACACCAGAACAAAATACACAACCTCAGAGGCTGAGCCCTCGAGGGATCAGGATTAAGCAAATGAGGAAGGGGCTACTGGGTGTGCAAATGGGCCCCGAGCCAGGCTGTCCCTGGCTCCCCGTGCAGGACGTCAGGATGTTGCATATGGTCAGCAGGTCTTCCGGTCTGTCCCCTTCTTGTGTTGGCGACACAGGACAGAAGGGAATTCTTGTCAGGCATGTTACCCGGCTAGCAACATGAGGCTGCAGGGTGTGTCCGCACCCCACACGTGTGTGTGGGTGGGGTTGGAGGCTCAGACACCAGGAAGGACAGTGACATTGGTGACAGCATTTTCCAAAATGATGACCAGCTCTGGGTAAAGTTTTGAGGGAAACAAAATGTGGTCTTCCCTTGATTAACACCACAGTTGCATTTCTGGGAAATTGGCTGTATCAAACCAGCTCTCAGATCCTTGCGTTTGTAACCGGGTTGGGTTCCGCACTTAGATGATTAGAAACAGGTTTTCTCATCTACACAAATACCCAGCAAGACGTTTCAAAATCGAGGGGGAGGTGGGTCAGTTCTTGGTTGGGTGGGACAATCCCATGTGTCACAGGATGACCACCTTCAGGCTCACCCGCTAAATCATAGCAGCACCTCCCCAGGAAATACAATAACCAGAAGGGCCCCTACCTAGTCCCCAAATGTCCCCCAGGGGATGGTCCTGTGCCAGTTGAGAACTATGCCCCGCAGGCCCTGGCCAGGCCCAACTCCCAGGACTGCTAGGTAGCCCACTTTGTTTTAGCCCCTCTGGCCACGTTGGACAGGCTCAGACCCCCCAGGCCTGCCCTACCTCTAGGCCTCTGCACCTGCTGCTCCCTCCATCTCTGATTGTTCTTGTCCCGAACACCCATGTGCCGGCTCCCACCTTCATTCAGCTCTCTGCTCAGCTGTCACCTGTCAGAACGGCCTCCCCTGCCCCACTAAAGAGCAATCCCTCCCCCTCCGCCCCCACCCCGCACTTTCTGCCCCCTACTGCCTCTGTTCTTTCACAGAACCTACCATCTGACGTTGTATCCATTACCTGTCTCCCCAGCTGCCTACGTACGCTCCACGAGGACAGGGATTTTTGTCTGTTTCGTTCCCTGAAATCCCTGGTCCTTACGCAATGTCTGGCCAGCAGACAGTGGCCAGACGGGGAAGGACACCCTCACGCAGGAAGGAGGATGGCAGACATGCGGTGGTTCTGAAATCCTCTGGGGCCCCGCGCTGTGTGCCCTCAGACATAGTTTGCACAACCATCTTCTGCCTGCGCGTGGTTCTAATGAATCACAGCGTTGGCTGGCTGTTTACATTTTTTAAAGGTCAGACTAATGGTTTCTTTGGCAACGTCGTTCCCTCAAAAACCTACACTTTTTTTTTTTTTTAAAGATTTATTTATTTTAGAGAGAGCGAGTGGGGGGGAAGGGCAGAAGGGAGAGAGAGAAACAGACTCCCGGCTGAGCACAGAGCCTGACTCGGGGCTCGATCTCACCATCCTGAGATCATGACCTGAGCCGAAATCAAGAGTCGGACACTTAACCGACTGTGCCACCCAGGAGCCCCCAAAACCTGCGTTTTTATTTATTTCCCAGGCAGATCCAGCGTCACCAATGACATTCCTGGTTCTTTCCTGGAGCAGTTTTCAAGTTGGCTTTCTATCTTTGCTTCCTTGTTGCCTCTCCCTCAAGATGCTGGCCTTGAGGTTCCGAGGCCCAGGCGGGAAGACCACACCCTCCTCCTGCTTCTCACCTGGGGAGGCCGAGAATTACTGGGTCTCTGTGGATCGTGAGCGCCTCTTAGTGTTTGGAGGCCAGAAGCAAGAGGAGTTGGCTTTTCCAGCACTGCAAGACCCTGGATTTCAGGATCCTCCTTTCCCTTCCGCTTGTAAACTGGCTAATTCTTTCTGGAAGTCAACTCCTCCTTGTGGTGCCTCGCCAAAAGCAGCCAATAATAACACATGCCACATTCTGGGTTTTCTTTCTTTCTTTTTTGACCTTCTTCCCTCTGAGCTAAAAACTCAGCAGACACGTAGACGGTTGAACTTGAACTGCCTCACCAGATGTTTTGCGCCTGCCTGGCGGACCCCAGCTGTTCTGCTGCCGCCATGTTTGCTCCCTGCCTGCCAACTGGCCACGACCTAAGCCAAAGCCCTGCATTTTAGGTTTTGGTGATGGTTGCCCCGAGCTTCAGGGTACCAATCTATCAGTGAGAGTAAGAAAAGCCACTTGTGGTAATAAACCCCCAATCTCAGTGGATCAGTTAGAGTAGAAGTTTCCTTTCAGTGATGCAAAGACCAGCATACAACTCTTGCTGAGCAGGTGACTTGCCTCTAATTGGTGACTCGGTGACCCACGTGCCTTCCAACCTCTTTGGCACCTGACCTCCAGGGAGTCAGTCCAATGCGGGAGCACCGTATGGGCCTAGGTTGGAACTGGTGTCCATCACTTCTTCGGCCACAGCTCAGTTTATGCACCTACCCCGGGGGGGGGGGGGGTCCAATGGCAAAATCTAACGGGTTTGGTGAGCACACGGTGTTGTTTCTGCCACAAACCACGCACTCCCAGGTTTTCATCCTGTCTTAAGCAGTTGGTGGCTCCCACAGCCCTACCCCCTGAACAGTTTTGTGGTCTTCTCCACCCTGACAGTGGCCACCAGGCAACCATTTACCTCCCCAGCCCAGTCCCAAGCGCTGGTGGGCCGGCAGGACCTGGTGCCCCGGCAGGACCTGGTGCGCCGGCCTCCCTCCCCTCCAGCATCCACGGCATTTCCTTGTGTTTCCTCTTTAGTTCTCAACCCCCCTTACACTGACCTTCCTGCTGGGGCTCCTGCACTCCACACCAGGGTGCCGAAGTGCACCGTTCTGACCCTGCTCCACGCACAGGTGCTGCACCCACAGACACAGCTTTCTGGGTGGGAAAAAGATCAAAACCTCCGAACCAAGGACAATGCTGTGGCCGTGGAGTACTCAACCTGTCAGCACACCCGAGACTGAGCAGTCTGGAAAACCTAAACATTCAGGAACCCATGAGAGAACGAGAAGGTGAAAGACCAAGGGCAGCTGGGGTGCCTGGGCTGTGCCCAGCCCCTGCCCGCCCCTACCCCGGGGAACCTCCCATGCCAGGGCAGAGCTGCCCTGCACACCGATCTCCTCCCCACCCCCACCCCCAGCACGGTCGTTTCAAGGGCAACACCAGCTACAGTGGGGATGCTAGGAGTCTGCTAACAAGCTGTGCAGGGCTCTCTGTACCCCATCACCCCAAGAGGTAAGCGAGGTGCCCACCCTGCTGGTTTTATACCTTGACCTTCACTCAATGCCAAGTGCCTCCTCTTAGTCTGAAAACTGGTAACCATTTTAAGCATTTCCCCCCCTTTTCGTAAGGTTCTAATGACCAAACTGTAAAAATAAAGGAAAACAACACAAAATCAAAATTCAACACTCGGAGCAAAAACCACATTTTTACCAGATCTACTTTTATTTCAGAAGGAAGTTTGTATTATAGTATTTACTTTTGTTTATATACAAGTTCTTCACATTTGTGTTTAAAATGCACAGACCTCCCTTAATTCTCTTGTTCTTGCTTAAATTAGCTGTTATTTTACAATACAAAAAATACCAAAAAATTGCAGTCCTAAATGTATGTATAACACCCACAGTCCCCAGCAATGAAATAGTTTACAATACTTACTCCATATTTACATGAGTGCAAGAGATGCTAAATTATACATATTAACAAACTAAGCTTGAATCCAAACCAAAAATAAAACAAAAACAAAAACCGTAAATACCTATAAAACAAAAACATTTCCAGAGCCAGAATTAGTTCAACGAAACAGGCTTCACTAGTGTTTAGAATGTTTTGTGCACAAATTTCAGTTACTGAAAGTCAATTCCATTATTGCCTTTGAAAGAGAAGGCGCCAGTTCCCCTCTCCACTCCAGATCATCTCCCTGCAGGTAAGGGTGTTCAGGAGTTGGAACGATTCCAGGCAAACGTTTCTTGGAGGGCCTGCCATCATGGTGATTTTTATGGTTGGAGCCGAGCTTGGTAAACTGGGCACACGTTTCAGACTGAGAACTGGTGCTCGGCCCCAGGACAGACCCTCTGCCTTCCTGGGTCTGTCGTCAGGGCGGCCAATTCTCACAGAAACTGCCATGAGGAGAGGTCTCCTGGGATGAGGGGCGTGAGCTGGGCTTTGCTGTACTTCCAAAGAGCTTCTTTCCGTCTTGGTCACTGCCCTAGCATTAGCTCAGGTTGTTAGTAAGTGCTAGGGAGTATTCACTGAGGGTGTGGATGGATGAAAGAGACTAAAGGATCAAAGGTGTTCTCAAAAATGACACCAGCACCGGAGGAAGTGAGTCCCCACCCCCTCCCCCAGATACACTCCGTTGAACTGACGGAGTGAGTTGCACTGAAAAGGTCCCACGTCTTCTTTCTACCGAGAGGGCTCTGGTCTTCTCACGCGTCCACGTCCGCCCCAGGCTTCCCGGTTGGTGCGTCTCCCATCGGGTGCTTCAGGCCTCACCCACAGATGTTCTGCTGTTTTCCTGCCCAGGGCTGCTTTTCCTCCAGGGCAGCTCGGGGGCTGCGGGGGGAGTGTGGCTTGCCTTCTCTCCACACCTCCTCCCATCTCTTCGAGCTGATCTCACAGGGAGCGCCGTAAGACGAGGAGTGGGGCATGGACAGGAGGCCAGGCTGTGCGCGGATCCGCAGGAAGGAACGGGAGCTATCGGTCAGTGAACTGGCCACCCTACTCCCACCCCCGGTTTTCAGTACAGGAAACTACAGTCCCAGGAAATGGTCATTAAAATTGTAGACCAAATGGAACAAAAGGCAGCCTGGAAAACCCCTTTCTGGAAAATCTCATGGAGTCTTTGAACTGAGAGACTAAGAGAAACGCTTCTCAGGACAAGACTGGTCATCCGTGGCCAGGCACAGTAGCAAGAGGCTAACAGCAAGATTCATGACCCCCTTGCAGAACCGGCAAGTGACAGCGACATGCCCACTGCCTTCGAGGCTCCTCACACAATGCTGTTTAAATGGGCTCAATGCCTGAGTTCTCCTCTGTGTCCCGGCAGACGATTTCTGTTTTAGAATCAACCAATTTGGACCAGATGCATCTGGACACATTGGCATGATGGGGATGCACCCCCCTTTTTTTGGTTTTGTTATCAATGTATCAGGGCCCAATGAGAGGACTTCTTCAGACTTGGATATCCAGTATGTGGCACAAAAACATATTAGGTAAAACTCAGACACGGTGACATTTAAGAAAAATACATCAACATAGTTTTGTTTTATGTACACTCTGAATGTCTGAACATTCTGGACACTATTGTATAATTATATACAAGTGCAACATCAATGTTTTCATGACTAGTTTAACTTATATACAGGCTCTCCTGTGACACGCAGGCATTTCTCCGAAGTTCCAGATGATTCCCTCTTGGTAACTGGCTGCTAAGCTGAGTGCCTTTTTCTCTTGCCCCTCCCTTCCTCTGGCCTGAGCCCCGAGGAAGCTGTTTGCTATGGGCTGCAAAGGAGAAGCAGGTGGAGTCAGCTGTTTCTCCACTGTTGGAGCAGAAGTAAACATCACTTGCTCCTTTTCCCTTCCTTTTTAAAAATAAACTATCTTTTAGAAAACCAAAACACCAAACCAGGTGGCTATGGGACACGGTGCATGTTATTTCAAGGCCTGGGAAGCCATGGGGAAGAGACTTCTTTGGCCAAAGAAACACTGGTCCTTTGAACAAACAAGGATTTTCCTTGTGGGGGGTCCTTCTCCAGCGGCCTCCCTCTCTCTGCCAAGAGGCCTCATGGCAATATAGGGGGGAAGTGCCAGTCTGAGGCAGGCTCTCTGTGGGTGCCGTGATGTGGAGCAGGGATGTGGGAAGCTTGAGAGAGAAGGGGGTCTTTTCTAGAATTGTCTGCTCTTTGCCAATGATGTGAAAAAGCAGCTTTTTGAGAGGCGAGTCTCAAAGTAGAGGTGTTTTGTGCATCAGACAGTGTTTTAGGGTTCAACTTCCATGAAAACATTTTTCCAGGCAACTCTTCATGGGTGAGGGCTGGGAGAGACAGCGCTCCTACTCTAGGCACTGCATGTAAAGGTGAAAAGCTGCAGTCTTTGCTCTTTCGAGTATTAATTTCTCCAAATTCACGAACGAGTGTGGTTGTCTAGAGGGCCATCCCTACGGGGTAATGCTAGAGAACCCCAAGTTTTGAAGCAGAAGAAAGACCTGGGGAGGCTGCCGCATAACGCCGGAATACAGAGCACCATACACAGGGACACCATGACCCCCAGGAAGCAGCCTGCGAAGAAGAACAGGACTGCCCCGCCCCACTTCAACTTGGTCACTTTCCACTTGGCATGGTTATTCCTCCTTATGTGCTCCATGTGCTTTTCATCCTTCTCAGTGGTCACTGCCCTGCCCACAGCTACCACCTGGGGCTGAGAAGGAGGATGGGAGGGCCGAGCTGAGCCTCTCCTGGAGGAGAGCAGGCAAACAGTTCTAGGTCCTTCTCCAGGCTTTGGGCATGCAATTCCACCTGCAGCCTGAGGATGACCCACCAGCTCAAGGCAGGCTGTAGGGCACACTGTTGCTCTTTGATGCAGGGATCCTAAGGGCTGGCATGCTCTTTTCTGCCCAAGGGAGACACGTAACATGGACGAGTCCCTGCCTCTGTGGTGTCCTGGCAGGAGTGGCCAGAAGGGCTGGAGCCAATGTCAGGCCTAGAGTGGGGGGCGGTGGGCAGGGGGCACACAAGGACCACACCTTATTTAGTGCTCCTGTCTTTTGACAACAACATAAACAGGAGCTTTCACAGTTTGGTCATTTCTGCTTTCCTCTCAGTCCCTGATGCTAGGTTAAACGTTCCCTGGGGTGAGAAAATTCTTTCCTGGCTGCAAATCAGATTTTAGAAAAAGAGCAGATTGCCAAAGGTAGCTATTTAAATTTTATAAGAATGTAGGAATGCAATTATGGAAAAACTTAGGCTTACTAACTTTCCAATTGCTAGATCTATTTCAAGTCTAGGCACTTAGTGTGTGTGTATGTGTGTGAGAGAGAGAGACAGAGACATGAGAGGGGGGAGAGACAGAGAGAGGGAGAGGATTTCAAATAGATTAAGAATAAATTAAGTTGCTATAGAAAACTACCTATTACATCAGTTTACATTCTAAGTAACACTGCTGACCTTGACATTTAAAATAGCCCCCTTCTACCTTAGTTTGATATGATTCAAAAGAGATGGACCATTGTTTATTCTCAACTAGAAAAAAGCTACTCCCTGCAAGAGAGAGGTTTGCCTACGTCATGCAAGAATAAGTAGCACATCTTTTAAAAAAGATAGCAGGCTTCAGATGAGAACAAATTCATTCATCTGACTAGTTTTTAAAAGACCATGTTCAAGAACGACTGGTGGTGGATGTCTACTTGTAAACACTACATCTTCTTTTTTTTGCAAGTTGAGACAGCCCCAAGAACAGTTTTCCACAAGTGAACCTGAGTGTTGCTCCCAGCTCTCTCACTGGCTCTGCCCCGGCCTCCTCCAGCAACAACTGGGTCACCCCTGGATCTGCCATTAAATCAATTATTTCCTATGCAAAAGTAAAAGGTTAGATGCTGGAGCACACATGGGAGAAACCGGCAAAGAAAGCTCGTGAACATGCAGAGGAGTCGGATGTTTCGAGGGTTTCCAGTCTTCAGCCCGCTCCACGCAGCATCTCCCCGCCTGCCCCCTCCCTGCAGCGGGCGTCCGCGCGCCGGCCACCCCCCAACCCCCCCCAACCCCCGGCTCGCTCACGGAGAGTCCCCGGCCTGGCCTCAGATGCAGGTCCCAGGCTGCGCGGGGGGCTGCTGCTTCCGGTTTCTCACGGCTCCTGACTTCTCTTTGTACACTATTGGCATCTGCTGAGAAATGTCCACCAGGGCGCTGGCCACCGCGAGACCTGGGGAGAGCCCACGGGGAACACGTGGTCAGGGGCAGCTTGCTTTGTCTTTAAACATAATTTCAGAAAACTTTTTTTTTTCCTTTAACATTCCCGGGGTGCAATGAGCAAATAAATAAGTGAAGTATAGAGGGGTAAAGCCTTCCTTCTGCACTGTGCCTCCCTCCACCCGAGCACTGCTTTCAGTAATCTGTATATATCCTTTCAGGGTTCACTGAGGCAAATGCACATACATATTCTTCTCCCCTCCCCACTTTTCACACAACAGATGTAGCTTTTGCTGTTCAGCAGATCAGCGAAGCAAAGAGCTCGGCCTGGCAGTTGGAGCATTTAAGAAAGATTGCAGCCATGCTCTAAGTGCTACATCTTTCTGCGGGCCTCCAGAAGGGTGCCAAGAAAAAGCAGCGCTCTTGATCAGTAAATTCAGGTTCATTCCACATCACTCAGCCAGCACTGGTTATTTTCGTATCTATCCTAATAGGTTAGGACAGACTCTGGGGCCAGGCTTTGGAATACATAAGGATCTAACCCGCCCCATGCCTCTGTTTCTTCATTTGTAAAATGGGGACGATAACAGGACAGGGCATGTGTGAGGAGTCACTGAGTGAACCCACGTGAACATCTTAGAATGGTACCTGGCTCGTCACCCCACCACCCCCACCACCCTTGCTTTAGGGACTAGTGGGTTCTATTCTCCTTTTTGTACTAGGAACTGATTAACCTGATGTTCAGTGGGGAAGGCACAGTTCTGGGGGAGCTGGATTCTCAACGCGTGTGATTGAGCCAGTGGAGGCTCAGCGCCCAGCTGAGGTTCTCAGGAGCCATGTTAGTGCCACCTGTTACTCCACTGAGCCTATAAAAATGGAGGAATGGGGGGTGGTGGGGTGAGCTTTTATGTGCCTGGCGTGCAGTGGGGAATCCACACCAGTGACACTGTTTAGCAAAGGCAGAGTCCTGAGGAAGGACCATCTAAAATGGGGGGTAGAGAAGAGACCACCTAAAATGGGGGAATGGTCTCACTTGGGGTGGGTCTCAAGCAGGGAGCCAGCCTTCATCAGGAACTGAAGGGGATGGGGCCTATCAGGGAAAGGACACGGCAGGAAAGGACACAGTACTGCAAGCCTGTCACTTCCCTACTCTAGCCAGGGTCTTGCTCTCAGAGAGCACAGGCCAAGTTCGCTGAGGAAGTAACAGGAGACAATGCTCCAGAGTTCAGGTCAATGGGTCATTCTGTCCTTGACATGGATAAGGCTGAGTTAGGAGGTGAACTCACATCCCTAGGTCAGAGCAAATCAAGCTGTTCCCCTATGAAATGAAGACAACCAAGGCTGGTCTGGCCAAGCCTAAAGGCCTCCCTCGTGAGGACCCCGAAACTGTTTCGAGAGCTCAGCTGGAGACGGCTCTGGATCTGAGGGCTGCACTCAGGAGGCTTTGGAGCTCTGCGGCTGGGCAAGAATTCTGAGACATACTTTATCACAGACACAAGGCTTTCTTTGGCTAAGGCAACCCTGACCCCCAGAATCACTTCAACTGAAAGCTGTCTAAAATATATTGTGCGGGGCGCCTGGGTGGCTCAGTTGTTAAGCGTCTGCCTTTGGCTCAGGTCATGATCTCAGGGTCCTGGGATCGAGACCCGCATCGGGCTCCCTGCTTCTCAGGAAGCCTGCTTCTCCCTCTCCCCCTCCCCCCCCCCTTGCTTGTGTTCCTGTTCTCGCTATCTCTCTGTCAAATAAATAAATAAAATCTTAAAAAAAAAAACAAAACCCATATTGTGCATCTTGTCTGAGGCATCCCTCCAAAGTACTCCATGATTAATCAGGATATTTCCAAAACTGTATCCCATTATCTCCTTAGTGTTTAATAAGAGGATGTTTATCGAAGTTGATTTGGGTACTTGATGGAATTGCATAAAAGAAACGGGTAAAATGTTATGTAGCAAAGTGTCAAAATGTTTATGATAGTTATATGAAAAAAGAAGAATAAAAATTAGATCTATACAATCATTTCAACAAAGCTGCTGGCCAGGGCTGGAAAGGAAAGAGAACAATGAACACTGGTGGGTGCTGGATGGTAGGGTTGTGAGTACCCTTCCAAGACTTCCTTTAAGCTGTTATAATTGCTGTTTGTGCCTTATATTTAACAGAGTAAAAAAGCAAAAGACATGCAGTAGTGCTAGAAATACCAGTTTGAGAGTGGCCAGCTTGGAGGAGCTAGCTGGGGGCCATGAGAGTAGGTGAGATGACCACGGAAGAGCATAGGGAAGGGAAGGTGTGGCCGGACGTGTCCATAACTCCGGGAGGCCGAGGGAGAGGGGCAATCCCAGCTCGTCCCTGCGAAGGAACCACGACCTCTGGACAGTTTAGGGAACACCAGGGACAATGCGATCATCTCCCTGAATCCTTACAATGACACGAGGTAGGCACGTGCCTCCTGTTCACTATCGCTTCTTTACCCAAGTTCACGTCTGGTTTGTCACTGGCCCTCATCCACTCACCTGACTGCCCAGGAGGAGGGATTCCACCGAGCCCTCGAGGGAGCCTCACAAACACAGAGAGGACAGCAGCTCTGTTGCCAAAACACGGCTCCAGGGCAATGGGTTTGGGAACAGTCTGGTGGGAGATAACAAAGCATTACCTAAACCAGTGTTTCTCAACTGTTAATGACGCAGCCTTCACACGTGATATTTTTTCATTTGTTTAAAATTTAAATTCAATTAATTAACACATAATGTATTATTGGTTTCTGGGGTAGAGGTCAGTGATTCATCAGTCTTATAAAACACCCAGTGCTCATTACATCAAGTGCCCTCCTTAATGTCCATCACCCAGTTAACCCATCCCCCTAGTAATTTTTAAAGATGCCCTCTATTAGTTTCTATTGCTGTGTAAACTTAGTTGCCTACAACAGCACCTATTTATTATCTATCTCAGTTAGGCAGGTTGGAAGTCCAGGAGAGCTCTGTAGGGTTCCTGCTTACCCACACAGGTCTGCTCATCTCTTCCATCAGTTCTGGAAAATTCCCAGCTCTTATCTCTCAAAGGTCTCCATGATCTCAGCTCTTATCTTCACAGGTGGAAGTCAAGTTAGCATCTGGGCCGGCTCTTTTGTACAGGCTCTAGGGAAGAATCTGTTCAAAACTCATTCAGGCGACCTCACGTGGCCAGCAGAATCCAGTTCCTTGCAACTGTAGGTCTGAGGTCCTCACTTCCTTGCTGCAGGGGGGCTATCCTCCAGCTTCAAATCAGTGGTGGTGTGCCAAGTCCTTTGCATGTTTCCTCTTCTGCCACCAGCCAGAGAAAAGTACCAGTGTCTTAAGGTCTCAGCTACCTTGGGATTTGTATGACTTCTGCCCAATCCCTTCAGAGTAGCACCTAGAGTAGTGTTTGACTGAAAAACCATGAGCTGGGAATCTTGGCGGCCATCTTTAGAATTCTGCCTGCCATACCCCCAAATATGTCATTCATTTCTTCAATTTGGTTGAAGAAATCGACTTCTGGAACCACTGTGGCTGCAGCACAGGGAAGGACGGGGTGGGTGAGACAATGTGGTGATAAGGGGTGTAGGTGTGTGTGGTGATGGAAGACAGAACCAAAGACGTGTGCTGATGGGACTGGCTGTCCAATGAGAATGAGAGCTAGGATGATGTACTGAGTTGGGGGCGATATGCCAAGAAGAGGTGTGGGGGATAATATCCAGAGCTCAGCTTTGGCTATGTTAACTCTGACATGGCTACTAAGACATCCAACTGGGGATACAGAGCAAGCAAGCAATTGGATATAGGAGTCGGAGGCTCACGGGAGAGGTCCGAGCAGAGAGATGGTGTTAAAATAAACCCACAATGGAAAAGATCACTTCTGTCGTCTGAATGTTTGTGTCCTTCTAAAATCCGTAATGTTAAATCTTAATGCCTAATATGATATTTGGAGGTAGGGCCTTTGAGAGATGGTTAGTGCCCTCATAAAAGAGACCCCCGAGAGCTCCCTAGCCCCTTCCACCATGTAAGGTCAGAGTGAGAAGGCGCCACTACGAACCAGGAAGGGTGCTTTCACCAGACACTGAATCTGCCAGCACCTCGATCTCGGACTTCCTAGCCTCGAGAATTTGTAAGAAATTTCTGTTGTTTCTAGGACACGCAGTCTCCGGCGCTTTGTTATAGCAGCTCGAACAGACTAAGTCACCGAAGGACTGGGTGCAAAAAGACGTGAGAGGAGGCCCAAAGACGGAGGTGGCCCTGCACCGTTAGTGGTGTGGGGCCATGGAGAGGGCTGAACAGAGAACACTGAGCAAGAGCCCCCAGAAGGTGAGAGGGTGTGTGTCCTGGAAAGAGCATCCACAAAGCATTCGACGGAGTAACCACCTGGGTCATATGCCATTGACATATGACACATAGTGCTGCTGGCTTAGTACTTTAGATTTGTCTGTTTTGTTAATCCCACAAATTGTTATTTTATCATGTTCGCTTAGATTTATGTACATGCTTACCATTTCACTTTCTCACTATTCCTTCTCATTCCTCAGTGCTGGGTAGTAAGGCCTTTCTCCGAGCACATCCGGTAGACATTTCTTTTGTACAGGTCTGCGGTGGCCAACTCAGCTTTCCTTCTCATCGGAAGCAATCATGCTTCTGTCCTTGTTCTCGGAAGGCGGTTACTGGGCACGCTATTCTAGGCTGGCAGTTCTCCTCCTGATGTCGTTTAGAGACATTCTTCCACGCTCTTTTGGCCTTTGATGTTACTAATGAGAAGTCAGTTGTTGCTCTGTCATATCCTTTAGGTGACCTTTTCTTTTTTTCCCCCCCGTTATTTTTTTAATGTAGTAAATAGACATGACATTTACCATCCTAACCCCCCTTTCTTTTAAGACTTCATTTATTTGAGAGAGGGAGAGACAGAGATAGCGAGAGAGCACAAGTGGGGAGCGGGAGAGGGAGAAGCAGGCTCTCCGCTGAGCAGGGAGCCCGATGCGGGGCTGGATCCCAGGACCCCGGGATCATGACCTGAGCCGAAGGCAGACGCTTAACCCAACTGAGCCCCCCCAGGAGCCCCCCTCCCTCTTTTTCAGTGTACACTTCAGAGGTATTAAGTAGATTCATATTGTTATGCAACCATCCTCACCATCCATCTCCAGAACTCTTTTCATCTTGCAGAACTGAAACCCTACACCCGTAGTGACTCCCTATTCCCCTCTCTCCCAACCCCTAACAACCACAATTATACTTTGTCGCTGTGGACTTGAGTATTCTAGATAACTCAGAAAAGTGGGATCTCACAGTATTTGTTTTTTTGTGACTGGCTTATTTCACTTAGTATAATGTCCTCAAGGTTCACCCATGTTGTAGCAGATGTCAGAATTTCCTTCCTTTTTAAGACTGAATAATATTCCTTTGTATGTATAGACCACATTTTGCATACCCATTCATCTACTGACAGACATTAGGGTGCTCCCATCTTTTAGCCACTGTGAATAATGCTGCTATGAACATGGGTGTACAAATATATCTTTGAGACCTTGCCTTCCATTCTTGCAGGTATATATCCAGAAAAGGAACTGATAGATTATATGGCAATTCTATTTTTATTTTTTTTGAGGGAGACCAGTACTGTTTTCCACAGCAGCTACATCATTTCACATTCCCACTAACAGTGCTCAAGGGTTCTAATTTCTTCACACTGTGGCAATCCTATAGTATAGATATAAAATACACGTTAGGTCCTCTCACTGTATCCTCCATATTCTTATTATTTGTCATAGTTTCCATTTTCTTGTCTCTCTGTTCTGCATTCTGTGCAATTTCTTCAGATTCATCTTCCAGTTCAAAAGTTCTGTCTTTACTTGTATCTGATGTGCTGTATAAAATGTACACTGAGTTATTTAAAAAACTTCAACCCCTATATGTTCCATTTATTTTTTTTAGGTTTATTTATTTATTTAAGTAATCTTTATACCCCACATGGGGCTGGAACCCGAGATCAAGAGTCACGTGCTCTACCAACTGAGCCAGCCAGCTGCCCCTGTATGTTCCATTTCTAACAGTTCCATTTGGTTCTTTTTTAGATCTGGTCATTCTTTTTTTTTTTTTTTTTTTAAAATTTTTTTTAAAGATTTTTTTTTTTTTTTTTTTAGATTTTATTTATTTATTTGAGAGACAGTGAGAGAGAGAGAGCGAGCACATGAGAGGGGGGAGGGTCAGAGGGAGAAGCAGACTCCCCGCTGAGCAGGGAGCCCGATGCGGGACTCGATCCCGGGACTCCAGGATCATGACCTGAGCCGAAGGCAGTCGATTAACAAACTGAGCCACCCAGGCGCCCTAAAGATTTATTTATTTTGAGAGAGTGAGAATCAGAGAGAGAGTACATGAGAGGGGGGAGGGTTAGAGGGAGAAGCAGACTCCTTGCTGAGCCAGGAGCCCGATGCGGGACTTGATCCCGGGACTCCAGGATCACGACCTGAGCCGAAGGCAGTCGCTTAACCGACTGAGCCACCCAGGCGCCCCAGATCTGGTCATTCTTGATTCATGGTGTTCTCATCTTTAGGGTTCCATCTTCCACGTCTTTAAACATTTCATACAGAGCTATATTATACGCTTTAGATGCTGCCCTAACGTGTGAAGGCCTGTCTAAACCACCGTCCACAGTGTCTGCTAACTCCTATTCCTACTGGCTTGTCTCTGTTGTCCTTGGTGATCTCTGATTGCTTGATCTTGATCTCTGGGGATCCTACATGGCTGAAATGGGGATGCTTTCCCACAGAGAGGCTCTGCACCTACGTCGGCTGGGAGTCATGGCGTGTTACCAATCTGGAACCACTTCAGACCACACATCGTTCTGGTTTTGGTTCACGATTTGTTCTTTTTTGGGGGAGGGATAGGAGACTATTCCCTGGGAATTTCACCTACTTCCTATGAGCTCAGTAATTCTTTAATAAGTATTTTAAAATTCAGGTTCTATAACTGTTTCCCCAGAGCATCTGAAATAGTTCTTCATTTTGCCAAAAGAGAAACTTTTCTTTCTTCATCATTTTTTTGGGAGGAGTCAGAAATATTGACATTCCATGGAATACATAGTGAATTATAATTTTTGCCCCTTTAAGAAAACTCCCTAAACTACTTATAAAAAGCAGTGTTTCAATTTAGCTCTTTTCCAATATAAATTTTTAAAGTATTACGCCACAGAATACAGAATTTGAGACAAACCATTCATATTTTTAAGTTCCTTGAACACGAGAATGCTTAACAACATGAAAGACTGAAAAATGAAAGCAAAAGAATATCTGATAACATCAGCATGTTGCCTTATTGTTAAAAAGAGAGAGAGAGAGAGAGGAACACATAATTACGAGGCAACAGAATAAGGCTCTTGTTCTCTGTGGTCTCCCCAGACTTAGAAGCCTGAGTTCTGACAAGTTTTCGGGACTTTTGAATCACATTCTCACCTTTATACTTCCCCCAATAAGATCAGGAGGCTCTTCATCTGTTTCCAAGGCAACGTTTACGGAGGCAAAGGGACGACTGGCCATCTGCTGCATCTCTCGAAGAAGTTGCTATGGAGTAATATTGTGGCAAGCGTTAGTGCACCGAGTGCTGAGGGGATTTTATTAGGGAATATGACATACTAAAAAGTATCTCATCCTGCCCGCTTCAAACAAATCAAGTCCCAAACGATATTTTTGAGACAGCTGGAGAAAAGTGGACACAGACCAGGTACCATCAGGACTTACTAAATTTTGTTGGCTGTGATAACAGCACTATCATCATATTAAAGAAAAAGTCTTTGCCTGTTACAGATACATGCTAAAGTACTGATGGACAGAATGCTATGCTGCCTGTTTGTTAAGTACATAAAATAAATGATGTAGCCCTGTCTCCTCATATTTTTGTCACTAAAGCCAGGCTTTCTTCTTTCCTACTGAAACTTGAACCAAGTATTGAGACCACAGATAGGAATGGAAAGAGCTCTTTGTTCACAGGGGTGGTATAAGCTGAAAACAAACAAATGTGAAGTGTGATAAAGTCAGAGGGACAGGCAGGGGCTCTGGACTTAGGGAGGCTTGGGTGTGAATCTTTGATCCAATGCTTTCCAGCTGTATCACCTTAAAAAAGGTGTTTAAAGTGTCTGGGTTTCAGTTCCCTCTTCTCTGAAATGGGTTTTTAGTCCTAAGAGTGTTAGCAGGTTCAAAGGAGACACTGAAACCAGCTCAGCGCCTAGCACATGGTGGATCAGTATCTATCAATCATATATCATTAAGGATATTGGAGATCTGGGCATGTCACTGAAGTCTGGAGGTCATGCCATGGAAGACAACAAGGCCTGACTTCAAACCACACCCTTGGAACTATGGTAGGAGACATACTCTTAGTCTGGATAGATCAGGGCTCAGTTTTAGAAGGATGTTTTTATGTTAAACATTTTCTTAAAATACTAACATTCTACATCTTGTCAAGCTGTTGGTCCGCTTACTCAACAAATACATGCAACAACCCTACTCTGGGTTCTGTGCTGTTCCAGAGCTGGAGTCACAGTAGAACAGGGTACCTATGCTCCCCCAATTCAGAAGTTCCTTTATGAAGAGTGCAGGAGATAATGTGTGTAAAAACAAGGAAGACGGGGCCTGGCATCTAGCAAGCACTTAAGTTGAGTCAGCTGCTATTATTTGTGTTGTTATAAATCCCATTAAGTCATTTCTTCCACAATTCTGAGAGGGATAAGACATGACTGAAATTGTAGAGATGCTGAAATATATTTTGAACAGTCAGGTTCACAGTTACAGAGAAATTTTAAATCACAAGGGTAAAAGCTTAATTTGTTGATAACAACTGTGTCATAAGCATACTTTTTTAGGCATGGGGGAATTCTTAAAGAAGTTTAATCTGGGATTTTTAAAGAAGTTTAAATGATTTAAAAAATAATATGCTGAAGAAACTGTTATTCTTACTGAACCTAAATAAAGCCTCTCCTAACCCTGTGAGGTAGGAATCTTCTAATTCTTCCCCCCTCTTCGATAAAGCACGCTCCCCGGTGTGGCAAAAGAAAGAAAACCTTTTCTCCACCAGTGAGTCACCATTCCTCGAGAATGAAGAAATATCTTTCAAAAATTTTATTGAGATTCATAAGCATACTTTTTAAAAACCTTTTTTTCTACAAGGTGTTCATCCTCTACGTATTTTCTTTCAAGGATGTTTTCTAGTTGGCTGTTTGCCTTCACTGATGTATTTTTGATATACTTAAGTATTACTTTTTAGGCAGGCAAATCGCTACTATACAGTGCGTCCATCATCTTGTCTGAAAAATCGTATTGTCCCCTTTCCAATAGTAATAAAACTTCTTATTTCTCTTTCTCTGAGTGCACAGCCTAGAATATCCAGAACAGAATTAAGTGACGATGAGGACTACAAGGCTAGGCACGTGGCCTGTGAAGACGGAAGTCCCAAGTTGAAAGCCCAGTTTGGCCTCTTAGCAACTGTGCAATGGTCAATTATTCCGCCTCCCTGAGCTTCAGGTTCCTCATCTGTGAAACAGGGTCAGTAACTATTTCATGGGCTTGTTATGAAGGGTAAATTAGTTAATCTATATAAAACCTCTTTGAACAGTGCCTAGAATTTAGAATTGCTCAAATGTCAGCTCATTATGACAAACTTGTCTAGATTTTGTTGGTACAACTTCTAGTATTTTTATATCATGAGTGATGTTGGTAATCTGGATATTCTTTATAGTGTTAAAAGGAGGTATTAATTTGGGTTTACTAAGAGTTTTGTTTTTAAACCAGGAACCAGCGTTGAATTTCAATAAATGGCTAAGTGATTACTTGGCCACCACTAAAAATTTAGGTTCTATTTTTACCCACTGAAATAACCTATTCTGATAGGTTTTCTGGTAGGAAATGATCCTGTTATTACACTGGTAAATTAGACTGCTCCACATACACTTGCTGTGTGACTAGCCTTTGTTTTGGTTTCAAAGTTTCTATGCATATAATGAATTAGGACTCTTTAAGTTTTCCATCTTCTCCCTTACTCTGGGACAGTTTATATATTTTGGAAATAATTAATTCTCCTAAGCACTCAAGGAGAAATAGACTATTATTATTTCCATAAGTTCATCTCAAATGGAAACCCCCCGGGGTAATGTCCTTCGTGGAGAGAGTAATATTTTGACAAGTTTTCAATTCCTTCCCTGGTTACTGGTTTATTGAGGCTTCCCACTTCTTCCTTACTCTATTTGGATAACTTGTATTTTTTTTTTTTACAACACTGTACAATTCATTGGGATTTTAAAATGTCTTAGTAATGGAGCTATTAAAAAATCCCTCTGAATATGTTACCCACTGAATTTTAAGAAGGATAATAAAAAGGACGCAACATTACCTCTACGCTAACATCACCTTTACATGGGTCAGAAAAGGGGTCATGGCCCCCAGGAGGAAGCTCTCATTATAGACATTAATGTTCAGGGAACAATGCTGCGTGCTTTTGAGTTTTGATTTGGGATATTTCCGTTCTCTTCTAAATCTTGTCTACAGATCAATCTTTTTAAAAAGATTTTATTTATTTATTTGACAGAGAGAGAGAGAGAGACAGCGAGAGAGGGAACACAACACTTCCCTGGGAGAAGGAGAAGCAGGCCTCCCTCCAAGCAGGGAGCCTGATGCGGGGCTGGATGCCAGGACCCTGGGATCATGACCTGACCCGAAGGCAGACGCTTAACGACTGAGCCACTCAGGCGCCCCCTATAGATCAATTATTATATAGAAAAGGGCATGAGTAGATACACAAGACCGAGGAGCGAACGTCAGCCTAGACCTCAGTGCCCTTCCATTATCAACAATGCAACAATAGATGGGGCTACTAGAAGGCAGAGTAATAGCACCGGTGCAAGTTGCGATAAAGATTTTATGTTGTCACTTTTAACCAAGTTTATTTATCTGACTTGTCAACCGTAAATATTTGCTTGACTTACTTTTTTTTTTAAATTAACATATAATGTATTATTTGTTTCAGGGGTACAGGTCTGTGATTCATCAGTCTTACACAATTCACAGTGCTCACCATAGCACATACCCTCCCCAGTGTCCATCACCCAGCCACCCCATCCCTCCCACCACCCTCCACTCCAACAACCCTCAGTTTGTTTCCTGAGATTAAGAGTCTCTTATGCTTTGTCTTCCTCTCTGGTTTCATCTTGTTTCATTTTGATATGACTTTTGGAATGGAGCTCTGGAAATAAGTCAAGACTCATTAAAAAGTAAAACTCAAGCAAAAACTTAACTAGACACTGATTTATCTTTCTTTGAGTGATGAGACATTTCTGAGATGCTTAGCTGGTTGATTTTACTCTCGTTCTCATGAAAAGCTCTGCTACTGAGCCCTCAGATCTCCTGCCTGAGTTAAGGACAGAGTGCTGGGAGAATGAGTAGAATGGGCAGCTATGGGTCAATGCTAAAGATTCCTTTTAGAAAGTTACAAGCATGTAGTGCAGAACTCATTATACTTTATATAGACTAATCAAAATCTACTGACCATATTCTGCAGAACGGGCAGCATTAGTCCCCCCTGTGGTATGTCTATCAATGATCGCTAAGTAGCTAAAACTGACCTGCTTTGAGAAATAAAAGGGAAGAAGCTCTTCCAGGCATTCAGGAACCTTTATCCACTGAGGCTTACCTCTCTACGTCTGGAGGCCCAACAACTTTGTTTGATCTTCCAAACCACAGCAGCCACCAGGAGCAAAGAGAGGAAACAACTGTGAGAAAGGAAAGTACTGAGTTATTATCCCAGCCCCCAGAATCAGCACTGTCACCCACGCCCCAGGCCAAGCACCTTTCTCATGACTCATCGCAACCATATCCCGGTTCACAGGAAGGGAGCGTGAGAAGACTCTGATAAGCTGAGCTTCCTGACTGTACTGTCCCCAAAGGCACTGGGAGACAGCTCCGACCTGCCATCGGGCCGTTCATCGGAATGGCCCCTCGTGGCTTATCCCAAAGAAAAACAAATCTAGGATAATAATAACGAATGACAAGCATGCTATTTAATTGACTTAGCAAACTTTTACTGATAAAGTCTAAAAAAAATGAGAAAAGTTAGTTATTAAAGTAACAACCAGCTTTTCATATGGAAGAGGTAGACCCGAGAGGAAATAAACGTATATATGATAATATATATTCCATTATATATATATGTATACATATATATATATTTTAAAGACTTTATTTATTTACTTGACAGACAGAGACAGTGAGAGAGGGAACACAAGCAAGGGGAGTTGGAGAGGGAGAATCAGGTTTCCCATGAGCAGGGAGCCTGATGCGGGGTTCGATCCCAGGACCCTGGGATCATGACCTGAGCCGAAGGCAGACAGTTAACAACGGAGCCACCCAGGCACCCCTATATTCAATTATATTTTTATAAAATAAATTCATATAATTTTTATAAAATCAAATGATCAACCTCAAACCAAACAACTTTCTTAAAAGTATTAGCAGAGAATAACTCCCACTGGTCTTGTAACTGCAAATGCTTTCAACATTCTCTCATCTGTAAACCAGGTGTGAATGGTTGGAAAAGCTACCCTGACAGCAGAGAGAATGACTGACGTCTGTTGCCTGCAGACACAGGGCATTTGCAGCGCCCGTCGGCTTCCAGAAAGGCAGCCCAAGTGCACCCAAGTGCTGGCGGGAGGCAGGCCCTCAGGCTGGCTGGAGAGGGCACTCTGAGGTGTGCGGATGACTGAACTTCCGCCCTCTCAAGGCTCCCACAGCCCACCGCTGCCCCGACATGAACGGGGGAAAGACATCTCCACTGAATTCCCTGACTAAAGAGAAAGGGCTTGCCAGGGTCATCACTCAGGGGAGAGCCTTCAGTTCCTGTCTTGTTGGGCCTCTCAGCTGTCCTGACTCTCCTGTGTCCTTCTGCCTCCCTGACGGCCTCCATTTTCCTTTTAATCAATACTTTGAGACAGGTCCTGTTCTAGGCCCATAAAATACACTGAGGAACTGGACAAAAGACCACTGTTTTCATGGAGCTGACATTCCATCAGGTGGAGATAAAAAGTAAACAAAATAAACAAGCAAATTACAGAGCAAGTTAGAAGGTAGTAAATGCTACAGAAATAAAAAGATGGTAAGGAAAAGGGGGTTCAGGAGTGCCACTAGAACTCTAAAGCAGAATGGTCAGAGTGGGTGAGCATTACTTCTGGAGAAGGTGACATCTGAGCAAGGCTTGGAGGAGGCGTGGGAGATGGTTCGGCGATGTCTACAGAAACACGCCCGGGGAATGGGCTCAGCTGGGCACAGCCAGAGGCAAGGAGGGACCTCAGGAGGCCAGCATGGCTGGAGTGGGGGGAGTGGGGTCACAGGAAAAGGCAGAGAGGTAAGCAGCAGACCATGGAAGGCCTGCAGGTACGATAAGGGTATTGGATTTTACTGAAAGAGATGAGGAGCTAACTTAGGTATTTGAGCAGAGAAGTATCATGATTTCACTTATGCTGAGGAGACCTTTTAGGGTAGCAATGGCAGGAACAGGAGGACCACTAGTCTAGGAGAGATGATGTGGTTCAAGTCAGGGTGGTGGTAGCAGGGGTGTGAAAAGCACTTTGGAATCTGGACATAATTTTAAGGTTGAGACCACAGAATTTCCTGATGTGCTGGAGGTAGGGTATGGAACAGAGAAGTCAGGGATTTTTGCCCTGAGGAACTTGCCATCAACCTTGAGAGGGAAAGCTCTGGATGGAGTGGGTACAAGACAGCACACAGTATGAGACACGCTGAATTCTGAGCTATCTACCTAACCACCAAAGGGAGACGTCGTAGGCAGATATATGAGCCTGGAGGCCGGGTGCCAGGTCTGGCTTGGAGGTGGCATTTGGGAGTCATACGTATTCACAGTTAACTCTTGAACAATGTGAGGGTTAGGGGTGCTGACCCTCTGCACAGTCGAAAATCCACGTATAACTTTTGACTCCCCCAGAACTTACCTACTAATAGTCTACTGTTGACAGGAAACCTTACTGATAATATAAACAGTTGATTAACTCATATTTTGTATGTTATATGTATTATATGCTATATTCTCACAATAAAGTAAGGTAGAGAAAAGAAAATGTTATTAAGAAAATTATAAAGTGGTGCCTGGGTGGCACAATCAGTTAAGTGTCTGACTCTTGGTTTCAGCGCAGGTTGTGATCTCAGGGTGGTGAGATCGAGCCCCGAGTCAGGCTCTGAGCGCAGCACTAAGTCTGCTTGAGATTCTCTCTCTCTCTGCCCCTCCTGCTTGTGCTCTCTCTCAGATAAATAAATAAATCTTAAAAAAAACAAAAGGGAAAATCATAAGGAAAAGAAATTACATTTATGGTACTGTATTTATTGAAAAAAATCCACGTAGAAGTGGACCTGCCAGAAAACCTATGTTGTTAAGGGTCAACAGTGTCTTGTATTTGAAGTAATAAATCTGGGTGAGGTCACCCAGAGAGTGAATACAAATACAGAAGAATGTCCTGGGGGGCACACCCCACCACTGAGAAGCTGGGGAGAACAGGAAGAAGCAGTAAAGGAGTCTGAGAAGAGTAATCTGTCTTCCTTGGTTTCCACTCATAATCTTGCTTGTTGTTATTTTTATTCTAATAGAAACACAAGGAGGCAGCAAATCCACATGGAAGGGCAAGGAGGGAATGCGAACAGCTTCTAAGTCGGTCAAGACGCTACTGATGCAGTTGAGTTACAGGGCTGTCGTCAGAGGCGAGCACCTTGGTGCCACTCAGAGCCCTCTCCTGGGACTACCCTCAATCCAGAGGTATAAAACAGTGCAGCTCAGAAGGTCTGTGTCCCCTCCCTCGGCCTACGTGGGGCTTCCATCTTCAATGCAGACTTCTTAAAAACACCAACAACCTAGTTCCTTTCACAGGTTCCAGCTTTTCTAAGAAGTGACATAAACATGGGCGCCTGGGTGGCTCAGTTGGTTAAGCGACTGCCTTCGGCTCAGGTCATGATCCTGGAGTCCCGGGATCGAGTCCCGCATCGGGCTCCCCGCTCGGCGGGGAGTCTGCTTCTCCCTCTGACCCTCTTCCCTCTCGTGCTTTCTCTCTCTCAAATAAATAAATAAAATCTTAAAAAAAAGATAAAGAACCAGAGGAAGAGATTTAAAAAAAAAAAAAAAAAGAAGTGACATAAACATATACTAACACACAGTGATTGTCCCTCAAAGCTGATTATGTGTATGATTTTTCCTAGGCTAATACAACAACAAAGAACATTCAAGTTATTTCAAAAAAGGTGGCACTCACTGATTTACCTCCCTTTTCTTCCTACCACTAATTTGGGTACAGGTAGTGCTGCAACTCAGTGTTCACCCTACTGCAGTCCCTCTTGTCAACTGTTTTCTAGATTTTTCTATGTAAATGTAATTTAAAGAAACATTAAATCATGAAAATTTTCAAACATACACACAAGTAGAGGGAATGATCTACTGAATTCCTATGTCCATTACTTAGCCTTGACAAGTATTAACATTTTGCCACTGTCATTCAAAGATCAAGAAGTGTATTCCTCTCTTTCAAAACTAAGACACTAGCTCCAGGCTAAGGGTCTCTCACTTCCTGTCAGCTCTGTACCCGAAGAGAAAACAAGAATCCTTTCACCTTTTGGTTCTAAACCTGTTCCTCCTTTCAAAGGCTTGTACTTTCCTGAGACTACTCTCAAAAAATCCATGCCTTGATTCTAAGTTTTTCTTTCTACCTTTTGTCTATGTCTTTTTTTTTTAAAGATTTTATTTATTTATTTGACAGGGAGAGAGACAGCGAGAGAGGGAACACAAGCAGGGGGAGTGGGAGAGGGAGAAGCAGGCTTCCCGCGGAGCAGAGAGCCCGGCCCAGGACCCTGGGATCATGACCTGAGCCGAAGGCAGTCGCTTAACCGACTGAGCCACCCAGGCGCCCCTTGTCTATGTCTTTTGAAAACTCACAATTTGTGTGAGAGCTCAATGTTTGGGACATCTGTTTCTCACCAGCTTAACTGTAATTGTGCAGTTAGAATGGTATTTTTGAGAGTGTCCTGAACTTCCCCTCCAGAGGGCAAGAAGATTAATTAATGGTTACCGTTTCCTGCTCTCACAAACCTGGCTTTTCTAAAACTATGTTTATGTATTTTCTTGGCCTGGCCTTGAACACAGAGATACCACTACCTCTTCCCAAGTTGCTGTGATTTGCACTTCACCATTCTGGTCAGAATTAGATCCAGAGTGGCAGGAACCCATAATCACGTCTATCTTCTGGAATATGAAATGGACTTGTCAAAATGTCTGCTGTCGGTGTGGCAAGGGTCTAGCAGAAGTTCAAGTAATTAATTTTGAAAAGAACATTATATCTCGCCTATAACAGAAATTCCCATTACATGCCCTCCTTTTGGCCAGGTGGCGTGATATCACCTATTTCTCCTTTTTATTCTCACTCAGACGTTGCCCTCCAAGGCATCTGTGATCTCAGCCACAAAGACGTCCACAGAGTGTTAGTCCCTCTCACTACTACCAGTTGTCCTAGCCACTCTAGCGCATCACTCCCAGATACAAAGCCCTTTCACATACATGACCTCATCTGATTCTCACAGCAAGCAAGCGAGTGGGTCTTATTTCCCTCTTTGTGCACAAGGCTCCTACTGGAGTCTAGAGTAGCATCTCGTTAAGACACAAAGAGGCCTTAATGGATTTGTCAGAGTCTAGAGTTTCCTTCACTATGCCTGAGTCTGGAAGTTC